AGACATAGCAATTTTTGGGGGCATAGGAATTCAACTATACCTGACGATATGTGATGCTAAAAATAGTAATGTGAGAGTACAAATATTCTTGCACATAGTACTTCTGATACATAACAACTTCCCAACATAGCAAATTGAAGAATACATTAATTCAGAAAAACGTACATTTGTGACCAAAGTATGTGAAGTCCCCATTCAAACATCATACTATACTTATATTATCACATATGACCAGTTAAGCAAGTTCCTCTTCGCAAAAATTTTCTCGTAAACCCATCGATCAAATAGCTCGCTAAATTAGATAACCTTTTCCCGGTACAGCCCCGTTCATGCAAATACAACAAAGATCTATTGTATGCGTTATTAATGAATAACTCCGAGCAAAGCCAGAATGAAGAACGAACTCGCTGTCATAACACAGGAAGCATAGGCAAAGGAATGACGCACCGAAAGTTAGCTCGAAGGGATTAGCACGGCGTTAAGGAATTAATGCTGTTCAGCGAGCACAACGCGAAACAAAAAGGAAAGTAGCTGAAAGCGTAAACTCAATTGGATAACGGCCTGGGTCTTACGTGAAACGCGTTCTATATTACCCGAAACCTAATTCGATCGAGTCAGTGAAACGATATTCGGTCAATAAATCAACTACTTTTTTTTTTAAGTGTTCGAGCAGCCTTTTATGACCACTGAAAAGGTCCCGTACAGTTCAATGCCATTTTGTTGCAGTCACAAAGATACAGTTTACGATGTCCTGCATTCAAGGCCACGCTACGTAGCAATTCTAGTGAAAAACTGATTGATCGCGGTAACGTTTAGTGTCTTTGATTACCGTTAATTCGCGGTTCGCCTTCTTAACGCGTTCTTAATGGCACTATGATGATCGATTTGAAAAGCTCATTCATCGCTTCGAGCATGGCGAATCTTGATATCGGTAAATGGAAGTAGTTTAAGGTTTCAGGTTCAAATGGGAAATATTTTATGATATCATACTATGCTGTTGCACGTTTAGTTATTTTAGATTACTACAAGTGGAATTTGGCGTTGAGTTATCGCGTTAGGTATTATCACGCATGGAGTTACCACGCGTTGTACCGCTATGCGTTCAGTTATCAAGCGTAGAGATACTACGCGTTCAGTTATCGAGCGTGGAGATACTACGCGTTCAGTTATCAAGCGTGGAGATATCGAAAGCGTGGAGATATCGAGAGCGTGGAGATACTACGCGTTCAGTTATCAAGCGTGGAGATATCGAAAGCGTGGAGATATCGAGAGCGTGGAGATACTACGCGTTCAGTTATCAAGCGTGGAGATATCGAAAGCGTGGAGATATCGAGAGCGTGGAGATACTACGCGTTCAGTTATCAAGCGTGGAGATATCGAGAGCGTGGAGATACTACGCGTTCAGTTATCAAGCGTGGAGATATCGAGAGCGTGGAGATACTACGCGTTCAGTTATCAAGCGTGGAGATATCGAGAGCGTGGAGATACTACGCGTTCAGTTATCAAGCGTGGAGATATCGAGAGCGTGGAGATACTACGCGTTCAGTTATCAAGCGTGGAGATATCGAGAGCGTGGAGATACTACGCGTTCAGTTATCAAGCGTGGAGATATCGAGAGCGTGGAGATACTACGCGTTCAGTTATCAAGCGTGGAGATATCGAGAGCGTGGAGATACTACGCGTTCAGTTATCAAGCGTGGAGATATCGAGAGCGTGGAGATACTACGCGTTCAGTTATCAAGCGTGGAGATATCGAGAGCGTGGAGATACTACGCGTTCAGTTATCAAGCGTGGAGATATCGAAAGCGTGGAGATACTACGCGTTCAATTATCAAGCGTGGAAATATCGAGCGTGGAGATACTACGCGTTCAGTTATCGAACGTAGAGTTATCTCAGAGAGCGTGAAGATGCTACGCGTTCAGTTATCGAGCGTGCAGTTATCTACCGAATTACTATGCGTTGAGTCAACCACGTTCTATCGACACGCACTGAGTTACCATTTTGAATTTCTATGCGTTAAATTATTACGTGCCATACGCGTTGTATTACAACACATTAAATGTCTCTGTAATTTGATTGTTCAAGTTACTACGCGTTAAATCGCCACGTGTTGAACTGTGTAGATCATATGAACTTCTACACGTTGAATTATCACGAACTGAGTTCCCACGCGTTGATTTATCACACGTTATATCGCCACGTGCTAAATTACGTGTTGTATTACCACGCTCCGAGACCAGAGACTGCCCTTCGCAAGCGCAAAAATAGAACGAAGGATGTTTAATCCTTGACTACAGTGAGATGGAAATAAACCAGATCATTCTTTCAACACGCTTTATCTGGGTGGTCAATCGTATTCTTTCGACATTCCTGCTGTTTCCATTCGTGTTCTGTTTTTAGACCGTTGCTAAATTCGAAACGAACATGTATTCACAACAAAAGAAACCGGTTAGTAAATTAGAATGATACGTGAAAAATTGAGATTCGACTGAATTTTCCTTTAGGCCTCCGATGACCTACATTGCGCGAGAGGTGTTGAAAGTATTTTTCCGTTTAAAAAAGAAGAATCTTTGAAATGTTCATAAGTCATGAAAGAAAAGAATATTAGGAACAAGTAGGAAAGAAAGTTCGACTGCTCTTTGTTATTCAAATCCCTAATCGAGTAAAAAGCACGGGGGACAATGCGCACGAAAGTGAAAGCCTAAGTGTCGAAACCTTTTTTCGTTCGACAAAGACGACCAGGTTACGAGAGATAGTAATCGCGCGTGGCGAGTAATCGACAAACATGGATGCGAACAATCACTGGTACAATGGGCGTGTTTTGTGAACCAAATGTGCGAATAATTTCAGTTTCCGACTTGATGAATAATGAAGATGCAAGACACAAATGTTCAAGCACCTTACACGTCCGAATTCGTCATTGATCAAATATTCGATTCCATGTGAATCGATCACATGCTTATGTATTAACCCATATTGGAGCCATTCGAAAAAAAATACAACTTGAAACCCATCGCTAGGAACATTCGAAATATCTGAGCACCGAAATTTGCACAACACCCTGCTGCACCTATGTTTTGAGTTAAGAATAAAATAGTCTCGCGATCGTTAATGCAACGAACGTTAGTCAGCAGCCACTTCCTCCTTTCTCACCTGGACATTGCCGCTTAGGAAATGGCTCCACCTTTCCGAACGAACGTCCTTGAAGGAGCTGGTGCACCTAGAAAGGTGATGAAAACCGGCCAGTCACGTGTACCGTGCCGGCAGGAACGGCTCGCCATTTTAGCTCGCGATCTACCGGTTTTCTAATGAATATCTGCAAGTGTCCGTTGAATTAGGACAACCGTTCGAAGCGTGATCGCGAGGGGAAAAAAGCCGTGCAGTCGTGCCTCGAGGGTGAAACGTGCCGCGAGACGCAACCGGAAATGAGTTTCACGGAAGATTCAACAGCTGACGCTCAAAGGATGAACAGCTGATGCGTTTTAAATCGATTCAGCTTGTAACGCGCTTGTAACTTGATGGACACGTTCAAAGTCATCTCTTCCGACGTGGAGAAAGCAACGCACGTGGAGACTTCCTCGATAATAAGGAATTCGAGTGTTGAAACTTGGATTCCGTCGAACGATCCTTGGAACTCTGACTCGATTATACCTTATCGGCATTGTTATTGACGCTCGCCGCCGATTAAACGATGCAGCATGCAACGGAATTCTCTTATTCTCCCGCGGGCTTTTCGGCGATTAAAAAGCGACTCGCGCAAGGAGATCTCTCGTATTCGAGCTAAAACGCTTTTACAGTGTACTCGCGGAAGCTCGTTATTGCCGTTCAATTATAGCAATTGAATGATCATCAAGGATAACGACCTGGTGAACGATTACCATTTAGTACCGTAACCATCGCGGAAACTGCGAAGAAAGGTACTTTCCATGGACTTATTGTTAGTGAGTGATTAATGTGTCTTGTAATTAACGCTTTGATAACTGCGCTTATTAGAACCTGGGAATCATCAAGGCTCTAAGGATACTCGCATCTAAGGTCATTAGTTATCAAGGGATATAGAAATATTCAGATTCAGAGATATATTAAAGATGTTGTCATTTAGAAACGTTGGTGTCTCCATATATTGTTAGATCTTTCTCAAATCGTTAGCTTTAATTTATCTTCCTGCGGATGCATACCGAAACAGTCTATCAAACCTCCCGAAACAAGTTGTTATTGGTTGCTTCCGAGATAGATGCAGTGGGAGAATGCAGAAACGTGAGTTTAGATTTGTAACTCGGTTACGAGTGATTACGAGCTATGGTACTCCAGTGACCCGTGAACGTTTGTCGACCGTTCACCGTCTGTTCACGAGGGAAAGGCGTGGCCCCCATCGGGTCCTGCATTCCCGCATTATTGCGAATCGCGTCAATGAAACCGACGAATTCCTGAAATTCGTCCGCATACGAAAACCTTGAAACTATTCCGTTAATTTCGTTCGTCGTTTAAATTAAAACGAACAGGCTCGTGATTAGCATTTGAAACGGAGAGACTCGACACGGGTCTATTTATAACAAGAATTACTATTTCCATGTAATAGTTGAGAAAATGTTGCTGTTTCAATGGGGAAAGCAAAGTTACTCCCGTGGAACGGAAACACCTCCGCGGAGTACAAATAAACTTATACTTTCCTTGCGGACTCGACACGAGTCAGTTTCTAGATACAGGCTTGTGCTGGCTGCTTTCAGCTATATGATATTATCCAAAATTACCATAGTATTACTTTTATTATACCCTGGAATGATGGATCGCTAATTTGAAGCAGTTACCATTTTCACTTTTTAAAACTGTTTCTTCTAAATGCTATTCATGTATTCGATATGTCAAGGCGATGTAACATGTGACAATACAACGTGTGGTAATTCAGTGCGTAGTAATACTATGCATGATAAAAGAAATTCAACGCTTCAAGTCCTATCTCTGCCTCCTATTAAATCCAACAATTCGATTTCTGTTACAGATGATGCAGAAAGGAATTCAGCTCCTGCTAACCTTAGCAGTGTTAGCGACATGTTTATCTATCGTAACACCATCTTCATCGAGCAGAGAAAGGAGGCACGTCGGTGTCGAGGAATCTAGTCATCGTCCAGACAAAACGCAGCACACGCTGGCGAGTCGAACCTTGAAGTCATCAACCAGCAGGTACAACGAGATAACCACAGAACCCGGAAGGAAAGTGACGCACAGGTTGATCGGAGGACACCTGAGAGGGGATGCAAAAAGCGATGAAACCTTGTGGGACGACGGGATCCTTCTGTCGTCTGCCGGAAGCGGCAAAGAAGGAAAACCTAATCGAAAGGACGAAGACGACGAGAAGAAAACGTTGTCGCAGCAGGTGAAAGAAGGAAAGTACGGTTTGATCCAGGACGAGATTTACGCGAAGCCACCGAAACGACCCGGTATCATCAGTTATCTGGGTAACCCAGAAGTACCGAAGGACACGATCAACAATTTGGGTGGATTAGACGAAGACGACATCTGGTTGGCGGAGAACCACGTGCTGGTGTTGAGAGGAGGGAAATTTCCTGGCCACGAGAGCACGCAAAAAGATAGTCGAACCTGGCCACCGATCGACAACTACAAAGCACCCAGAAGACAAGTCAAGATACCATCCAAGCCGAAGGTACCGCCGCCCTTTCCGGTTCAACTCACGGAGGGTGGTCCCATACAGATTATCGGGCCGAACGGCACCCAGGACATCGGCAACGGGACCGACTACAAAAAGGACCCGTTGTTCACGAAAGGATTGCTCGAGGAAGATGGTCCACTCTTCGCCGTTATATCCAACGGAACGATCCTGATGTCCAACCAGAAGAACGCCTCCGGCGAAGAAAATCCCGAATCGCTGCCGCCAGGCAATTTCCCGTCGTTTTATCACGCGATACCGCCCGGTGCCGTGTTCGTGCCGCCGCCCGTTAACCAGTCGGACTACGACGAAGAGGATCAGTCCATTTATTATCCACCGCCGTACAGCTTCCAGTACCAACAAGACAACACCACGGCCGTGCCGCCTGGTCCTCTGGTCCCGGGCATCATCCTGCCACCCCCGCCCGACTTCTTCTCTCCTCTCGAGGACAAGAAGCCCACCACGAAGAAGTATCCAAAGCGCCCAACCACCACTCCTTCCCCAAGACCAAGACCTACGTATCTGCCACCCAGGAAACTCACGACTAAGCAGTTCAAGACCACTACTTCGGTACCAATTACGAAATCGAGGATATCGATCAATGCACCGACTAATTCGAAGGTGTACGGTAGAACGTCCTATAGGAATCTGACGAATACAGTAAGGACGGTCCCGTACGTGGAAGTGACAACACCCACACCAGACAAACCGACGACTTTAGACAATCCCGAGTTTTATAGCGTCAGTCCTCTGACGGAGAACCAGGTGACCAACCAGGAGAACGTTCAAGAAAAGAAGGAAGCCTGGCCGGGTAAAACGATTCCTATAGTGGCCTACTACGCCTCGACCACGCAATCCACCTTGGAGAGACCGGTGGAGGTTACACCAGCCTCGATAAAGAATATCGTTACCACCGACACTCCTGCAAGGTCTAACAGTCAGGCATCGTACTACTTCTACGAAGAGTCCAACGAAGATCCTGTCGGAACTACCGCCAATCCGTCTTCGTTTTATTATAAGACGACTACGGAGTCTCCGTTGTACGAGACGGTGACGAGAGCACGCCCTGAAGAGCGGAGGAAACAGTACTACAGCGTGGAGACGTTTCCCTCGCAGGAAACCTCGAAGGACTACAATATCAAATTCCTCGGTTCGGTGGTGAAAAACTCTGGTCCTATTCGATACAGCGACTCGCCGAGCGGTTCAGGCAGATCTCAGGGTCAACGCATGTTACCTGATCCCGCGCCGCTTTACTATCAGGCGATATCTCGACCTGCACCGGTGCAACCTTATTACACCACTGCGAAGCCGCAGACCTACTCCCATACAGATTATCGGGCCGAACGGCACCCAGGACATCGGCAACGGGACCGACTACAAAAAGGACCCGTTGTTCACGAAAGGATTGCTCGAGGAAGATGGTCCACTCTTCGCCGTTATATCCAACGGAACGATCCTGATGTCCAACCAGAAGAACGCCTCCGGCGAAGAAAATCCCGAATCGCTGCCGCCAGGCAATTTCCCGTCGTTTTATCACGCGATACCGCCCGGTGCCGTGTTCGTGCCGCCGCCCGTTAACCAGTCGGACTACGACGAAGAGGATCAGTCCATTTATTATCCACCGCCGTACAGCTTCCAGTACCAACAAGACAACACCACGGCCGTGCCGCCTGGTCCTCTGGTCCCGGGCATCATCCTGCCACCCCCGCCCGACTTCTTCTCTCCTCTCGAGGACAAGAAGCCCACCACGAAGAAGTATCCAAAGCGCCCAACCACCACTCCTTCCCCAAGACCAAGACCTACGTATCTGCCACCCAGGAAACTCACGACTAAGCAGTTCAAGACCACTACTTCGGTACCAATTACGAAATCGAGGATATCGATCAATGCACCGACTAATTCGAAGGTGTACGGTAGAACGTCCTATAGGAATCTGACGAATACAGTAAGGACGGTCCCGTACGTGGAAGTGACAACACCCACACCAGACAAACCGACGACTTTAGACAATCCCGAGTTTTATAGCGTCAGTCCTCTGACGGAGAACCAGGTGACCAACCAGGAGAACGTTCAAGAAAAGAAGGAAGCCTGGCCGGGTAAAACGATTCCTATAGTGGCCTACTACGCCTCGACCACGCAATCCACCTTGGAGAGACCGGTGGAGGTTACACCAGCCTCGATAAAGAATATCGTTACCACCGACACTCCTGCAAGGTCTAACAGTCAGGCATCGTACTACTTCTACGAAGAGTCCAACGAAGATCCTGTCGGAACTACCGCCAATCCGTCTTCGTTTTATTATAAGACGACTACGGAGTCTCCGTTGTACGAGACGGTGACGAGAGCACGCCCTGAAGAGCGGAGGAAACAGTACTACAGCGTGGAGACGTTTCCCTCGCAGGAAACCTCGAAGGACTACAATATCAAATTCCTCGGTTCGGTGGTGAAAAACTCTGGTCCTATTCGATACAGCGACTCGCCGAGCGGTTCAGGCAGATCTCAGGGTCAACGCATGTTACCTGATCCCGCGCCGCTTTACTATCAGGCGATATCTCGACCTGCACCGGTGCAACCTTATTACACCACTGCGAAGCCGCAGACCTACTACAGGCAAGAAGCGAAATCGAAACCGATCTACCAGTACAGCTTCGAAGCGGCGGACTACGCGAAGCGCGGTGATCAGAGGAGCAGGTACCAGCAGCAGCGACAACAGACCAATGCCTATGAAGAGTATCCAAACGTTAAAGTGACGAAGATCGATTACAATGAATATCAACGTGACGAGCCGGTGGTCCAAAAGCAGGTTAGACCGGAAAGGATCTACTCGTCGACGAGTCGCCCGGTGATCAGTACCACTCAGAATCCACAACACGCTTACTATACCCAGCAGGACGACAGGTTGTTGGACGAAGTGACCAAGGAATACTTTACGATGTTCGGGAAGAAACTACCCCATAAGAATCTACCTAGCACCACTCCCATTTACTCCAAGTCCAACGCCGTTACGGAACGACCAGACTATAACAGTTACGTGGACAACGATTACACTGTCGAGGCTCCTGTTTACAAGACACCTAACGTGAAGGTGCACTATGGGGATCAGTCTCAACGACCGTATTCTCTCAAGGATGACATTCTGGTTAATTATAGGCAACCTTTGCCTCCCATCGAACCGGACAGCGAATTCATCACGGTGATAGATCAACAGCCGCCAAACTACAGGCTCCCTAACAGGGAGAACCAACCTTTCGCCTCTATTCGTGCCTATCCTCAACCGTTGGTGAATTCCAGAAACGGTGCATCCACGAATTACGTGCCCATCGTGGAGTCTCCGGAGGAGCTCGACGAGTCTTATCCACAGCTACCGATTTCCCTGGAAGACGACATTAAGGTGAACTACCGTGATCCGAGGCCCACGATCAATCCTGACGCGGAATTTATAGACCCAGTGTCGACAAGGGAGAACCAAGCGGAAAAGCAACCAAAGGCCTACTTCGCGTACAGATTGCCGGGCGATGGAGGCCACTTTTATTTCCTGACGCCCCAGGCGATCACGCAGAGGCCGGAACAAAACGCTGGTCACCTCTACGCGAAATCGAGGGGACCGAGATTGCTGAGACGTCGACGGTGGCCGGGCAAAGTCTGATATTCTTGCCTGAGTTAGGTGTGATGCCATAACATATCATCGAGAAACGCACGATGGAGGCGCGTGTTGAAACGCGAATCGACCTACCGTTTATACAATGTATTTATTATATGTGTAAATAATAATAACGACTAAGATGTAGACCAGTGATGGGCAACTACGTCCGTTAGAATAGTCCGTAGACGCTGTATTTAGTTACTAGGGATGGGAGGTATCCCTAGATCTATCTAGGCTTTCCTTATCCTCCTTTCTAAGCTCTCCCTTTTCCTTAAGCCAGGTATGACCAAGTACCCCCATTCCCGCAATCAGAAGGCCCAGTATTTCTAAACTGCTAAATATAGAAACTTGAAAATGTTGATATTTGGAAGTGGGTACTACCTTGGTCATACCTTTCTTATAAACTCGTTATGGACTCCAGTGAGCGTGAGCTCTTTTGCGAACAATCGATCTGCCCATCACTGATGTAGATGTAGATGATTGTCGACGCCTTGTTCACTATCACTTGCTTAATTTATGCGACCTAACTCTGCCGCTTGTTTTAGATTGATACACATGCGGTACACGATGCTCGCGTGCGACCAAAGCGAGCGATCGTCGCGTACACGCGCGTTGTCTGTGATTAATGATCGAAGTAAACACGTACTGTGTATATAGTTACGATACGGTATTAAGAAATCTATCGTAGTGCGCAAAACACGTTTTCTTTCTTTCATAAAGCGTTAGCGAAGTATTTTATGTTTACTTTCGTATGATATTCGTTCAGATACTGTAAATATGTACGCGGTCAATTTTACATGTAACTCGACGGAACAGTAGCGTTTATTTAATTGATGGTATTATCGTAGGATTAAAATTAGAATGTAAAGGATAGACCTTTTAATATAGAACTTGCGATTATTTAAGTATGAAAATAAAGAAATATGGAAAAATGTATCCTATGTGTGTCTTTGCAGAAACGACAGCCACTCAATAAGTTATCGACATTGCTGATAAATAGTTGATGGAAAACTGTAGTTTGTATTTGAACTCTTTACGAAAATGTTCTTCATTAAATGAAGACATAATATCCGATCACTAAAAGACTGGGGTACTGGCTTTTGAACATCAGAATAAATTATGTTAATTTTATGGAAAATTGTGTTGAAAAATAAAGCTAATTTTAAATCGAAAATTCTCCTCTTTCATTGTCAAACCGAAAACTTATTGGGCAGCCCTCGTATAACTGTATAATAGTTAAGTTGGTAATAATAAAATGTAGACTTACCGGTGTCGATTTCCTGCGCTTGCGTTGGGTCGGGAAGAGGATCGTCGAACAGTCGTAAGTAAACTTCGATTGCACACTGCGCTGCTTTAAAGTAGAACGGATGAGATCGAAGCACATCTTCTAGCCTTAAAAGACCTACGTAAGATCGCAAGGTCATCTTTCTCATACAATAGGTATGAAAGTCAAACTGATCTTCTATGATTTCGGAAAAGTGCTGCAACCGAATGTGTTTGTCAGTGCATTGCGGTAATCTTTTAGATACTGCAAACACAGGACGAAATAATGTAAACTTACCCTATCGACTTCGTAACATTTCTTCAGTGCTTCGCCATATTTTCCAAGACGTTTATAAGCATTGGCTGCTTCTGTCTGAATCCACATGCATTGCATCTCGTTCAGATTTTCCATGGCTAACACTCCTTCCCTGGTGAACTTTCCACATGTCTCTTCGGCTTCTTTAATTAGATTTGCACGCAACATGTACTTGGCACATTTGGAATTAATATATCGATCTGCAGTATCTAATCCTTGTGCTTCGTCCAACCATATATACGCTTCTTGAACATTACCAGCATGCTAATGATGATAAAATATTTTAGCGGTCTTGACCGGCGCTCAAAAAAATAAAATGTTTGCAAGAAGATTAGCATTTAAGTAGTACTAACCTTATAAATGCGACCTTTGGTAACAAAAAGTTCAATAAGCGTAGGAGTATGTTCTATGGCAGCATCAATTTCATTTAGTGCTTTTTCCGTAAATCCGAGATGATCGTAATGTTGTGCTAAATAATAGTAAGTCCATAACAGTGCCGAAGCTGGCTCACGTGGATTATCCTTTTCTTGATCGGTAAAATGTCCGTGAGCCTTTAAAGCTTCTTTATATTCCAAAACTAAAGACTGTATAATATCAACTTTCTGTTGATCACTATATAGGGAACGAAGATTTACAAACAAAGGTGGTACACCTTTATGAAGACCTGCGACGCAAGTAAAATTATTTATATTTTACTTCATCAGCTAAGATTCTGTATAAAAATGTATAGAATAATACAGCATAGTAAGAAAAAGGAAAAAAGTAAAAATTCACGATGTAATCGTGAATCGTACCTCTTCGTAAGTACCGATCAACTAATGATTTAAATTCATCTCCTACAGCATAATTTAGTTGCAAGCGACGCGGCGCTAGCGCTCTAGGAAACAGTTCTTCGTATCTTTGGAGCATAGCTAATGTTTCTTCGGGATTAGCGTGTCTTTCAGCCTCTGCTAACCTAGCATAGTAAGTTGTGTTTTCTGGATTTATATTTAATAGCTCCTTATAAACTTGTGCTGCTGCTGCGTATTGTTTTAACTGTAATCTTAATTTACCTAACGAAACAAAAAACATTTATAGTAAAACTTATATCATTGACACAATATTGCAAGACTCAAAACTTTCCTTCTCAAACTTTCAACTTACCATAAGTTTCTTTCACAGTAACTTTATCACAAATTTGATCACTATATTTATCGAGATGTTTCAATGCTTGTTCGCATTCTCCTGATTCTTGAATAACCATGTTTTCATACAACAACAATTCACTGTGTTCATAATCATAACAGATCTGCATGATAACATTATTAACATAATAAATTTTATGAATTGTATTGTTGATATTGTACATATCTATCAATGAAATACGTACCATTGGAGAATTCCTAAATGTATCTAAAATCTTAAGTGCCATTTCATAGTCTTTTAATAAATGATATGAGATAGCGAAACCGATCCATGAAGCACGCTGTGTAGGACGTAGCATAAACAATTGATATCTTGTGTCCTAGAAAAAATATTGATATTGTTAACAAAATAATATTTAATAGCCATACATGATAAATAAACAGAAATATTAAATATATGAAACATGATATAAATTAATACATTGTTATATTATGTAACTTGAAATTATGTACTCATTATTTGTAATATTGTGCAATATTATTTATACACTTGGACATATAAATACACGTACAGTAACGAATTACACAATTGGCATCTTATAGAAATGAGGTTAATGAGGCAGATTTATTAGACATTAATGTAACATACAGAAACATAAATTATACTGCATATACTAAACACATACCTTATAACCCTCTAGATCTCTCATTTGAATTTGAAGCAACGATAAATCCCTAAGAATTTGAATGTTATCCTTGTCCCACTTAAGCGCATTTCTATAACATTTGATAGCTTCATCATATTTCTTATCCGAGCGTTGCAGAAGTCCATAAACGTGCCAACAAACATGAGATTGCAAATCATTCCTGAGGCCCCTCCGTACATGATCATAGGCTTCTTCTTTGCGACCCAAGCAATTCAGGGTGAGACCTTTCATCGCCAAGGTCTCTCCATGTTCGCTAAATTTAGGGTTCGACAAAATCTGCTTTGCAAACTTTATCCCATTTTTATATTGTTTGTGTTCGTAACACCTCTGCAAAATATATAAATACGTTTTATGGATGTTGAACAAGTTGGCATAATGGAGTGCCAGAAAATATACGCAAAAAAGCGCGTTTTAGTCAATAACGTGCATAAAATTTGCATGATTTATGGTTGCCAGTGAATTTTTTGCAATTTTTCAAAGAATGCTCCATCATTACAGCATGATGAATACTCCTATTAGCCGGAGAGTGGGGTCCAAAACAGAGTATTTTGATTACGCGTTACTCACCAGAATTCGTTTAAACAAGGCATTTTCTTTGGGTGGCAAAGGATTGCTGGAGGGCATTTTTGTATAAATACAAAAATATACAGCCTTTTCCACCCAGTAAACTTAATTTTCACCACAAAACCTCGTGGCCACAAACGAAGAAGTCGATCTTCGATCACGTGATCATCTGCGACAATGTTGTTCCGCCGGAAGTTCTAAATCCACGGTGCTGTATACTTCAATGTATCTCACGGCTTTTGCGAACAAGTTAGACACCAACGATGCGTTTCTCTCGCACGTCTTCGTTTATATTACGTTATTCTTAATACGTTCGATGATTTTACTTTTTCTGGAGTTACATAAAACACATATTTTCAAGTAGCGGGAGCGAACGATATTTAAGGATCATCTTCATGGGATCGTGAAGGTCTTATACAGAATATCATTATCGCACGGTACAATTTAAAAAAAAAGTATCAGGAACTATATGAGCAAGACTGCTTATTGAATATATGTTCTCTGAATTTAAGAAATAAATTTTGTTCGTTGCAATCAATGTCTAAATTATTAATAATGTTACTTATTATTTATAAATCGTTTATTATTCGTTTAATCGAGAGATCGTACTCATCAGATGACGAGTTTTTGTTCATTCTGCACATGTTTGGTTTGATTGGCTCGAACATATTTCGTAACCAAGAATAATGCGCATGCACATTTACAATCTTCGTGGCGCCTAGCGTGTGCACTTGGCGGGCACAAAGTTCTATAAATTTTGTTATATGAAATCTGGATATTTCAGTCTTCCTGAATTTCGCAATTTAAAAGTTTGAGACATTTTGAACATTGGGACATTTCGTGTTGCAAAGTAATCGTTTAGTCGGCAATATAACAAGAGTACGTGTCACTACACGTACTACCATATTTTTGTCCACCGTGTATATATTAGACGCATTGGGAAACGCGTGTAGTGGGGTCAGTTATATTATTGGTAGGAACTTATTGAAATTAGCTGCGTTGCGCAAATTGAATACGATCTCTCGTGGAACGAATGGTAAAATATGATTGGTCTGCTTCGGAAATCAAAATTGGTATATTTTGTATAGTTATTTGGAAGTACCTGATGGTCACATGGACATCCTCTTCATAAATTTGTATAAAAATGTTTGAAGCTAATTTATTACAGAAAACAATGAAATGTAAATCTATAAAGAAATAGCAATGTGTATTTTTTAATTGTAGTTTTAATATACAGATAGATGTAACTTTTATACAATATATCTAGGTATGATTTCAAATTTTTCATCACTGTACTCTTAAAAATACTAATGATTTAATAAAGAATTTTATTTGTAAAATATGTTTCAGATCCGATAGTTTAATGAATGAAGTTATTTATGTGGAGCTGACTGTGTGCTTGTTGAATGTTTTATCTAATAAATATCAACATGTCACTGATTTGCAGAAAATTATGTTCTTCTATTTTGTATGAACATTTTGGCCAAATTGTTCAGTCTGTAGGTGAAGATTTATTGAAATATGGTACGAAATCATTGGGTTTAATCCGTTATACAACAAAGTTACCACTAACAAAGGTATAAGTCTTTTCAATTCTTTGAAAATATTCTTAATTGAAAATATTTTTGTGCAATATATCATGTATTTAATGTTCAGATAAAAGAAGCACTGTGTGTTTTAATAAAATATGGGATCGTCACACATCATCGAAATGAAAAAGGAGTGGAATATTCTTTAAATTATGAAAAAATCTTAATGATTCTTCGTTATCCAAGGTAATTTATATCATAAGTGTATAACATTTATACAATATAATTGCAACTGCTAGCCCTAAACATTTGGCATTTCAATAGGTATATGTTCTTTGTAAAAACAGTTTGTGGAGATGAATCTGAAATGATGTTAGAAGAAGTTTTAAAATGTGGGTACATAACAGCTTCTGACCTTATAATAAAGACGTATAAAAAAATTGAACAATCACCATGTATGTAAATTTATATTTATAATTTGTTAATTAACATGGAGATTAAGTTTTTGTTGTTCAGTAACTATAATTACAATTTTAGCCGAATTACAAGCCTCTGTACCTGTTTTAAAAGACAAATTTGACTTATTAATAAAAGACCAGTTTTTGATACGTAGTTTATATACAGAATCAGTTGAAGAGGCAGCTCCTATTAAGCCAGATTTTATGATACCTGATTTAAATTTAACTGCAATCACTAAAAAGATAGGAGGGGCAAATGCTGATTGTGGGGATGATAAAATTTATTGGGAAGTTAATTTTGACCGGTTTACTCAAGATCTTAGGTAAGATTTATAAAAGGTATAATAAATGTAAGACATGTAAAAACAGTTTTAAATGTAATCTATAGGGATCAAATTATTGTATCAGCTATGCACAAAAGATTGGATGAAAATGCGGGTGAATTGATGAGACAGTTATTATTCCTCATGTACTTGCGAACAGCATCATGGGCGGATACGTCGAATCCGATTCCTCTCACAGAGATAAAGGATGCTGTCAAAAAAATCAATTATCCTTCGCTTACACAGTATCTTGACCAATATTTACGTCTCATTGGTATGGATAATAGGTGTTTATAAAAGGTTTTGTAAAGTGTTCAAGTATAACAAGCAATATTGCATGATATTTGACTAGTATACTATTTTAGAGGAGGATAGTAGTCAGTTTGTAAAGAGAGTTGGAGACTCAGGAGGTGGGCAATATAGCATTAATATGAAAGAAGCTTTCAGTCAGCTAGCATGGACAACTTTAGAAAATATTGTGATGGAAAGATTTGGTTCTAAAGCAGCAAGAATTTTCAGGTAAGTTATAAACATTTGTAATTGATGATTAACAAGTAAAAGGGTTTCAGCCATAGATATTTGCAGTCGCATTTCTCTTTACAGGTTAGTACGCGATAGGAAGTATATTGAACAAGAACGAATTCAACAATTAGCCATGATTCCAGCAAAAGAAGCCAAACACTTGACATACACTTTGCTGCAAGAGAATTATTTACAAATGCAAGAGCTAAAGAAACCTGGGGTGTCGACTGCGCCGATAAAAACTTTTTTCCTGTTTCACATAGACTTAAACATGGTTGTTCGTATGGAAGTAGAACATTGCTACCATGCATTGTACAATACTATGCAAAGACGGGAATACGAAATAAGCAGCAATAAGCGAATGATCGATAAACAGTTACGAATGCAGACTCTTACGAGTAATTTGAAAGAACACGGTGCTACTGAGGAACAATTAGCCGAGGTGCGTATACTTATTATTATATTGTTTGCAAATGTACAATAACAAAATAATTACATCCAATTTGTATGCAGATTGCAGAGCTGATGACACCGTCAGAGAAACAACAATTAGAAAAAGTTCAAAATACAATTAAGAAATTAGGCATCATTGAATTGCAGATAGACGATACTCTATTTCTGTTAACAATGTATTTACGGTATCACAAATTAAACGCGCGCCCTAACGAAAAAACAAATACATAATGTTTCGTTCATTTATATAGTTATTTATTTATGTATAATAATGGTTACGCTTGTAAAATACAAACAACAAAGGATACCTAACTTTCAAATTATTGTAATAAATATAATTATATATCTATATTTATAATAGTGCTGTTCTCTATGTGATACAGTGCATTTGATGTCACTATCTATCAGGGAAAATGATCTTGGAGTACACACCTTTAAACGTTCCATCGTTTACAAACACTTTTCATATAATTATACCTTTTTGATCTATGCGATATGAATATGTGTGTACGTGTGTAGTTGACGCGCGCGAGCGCGTGTACGTGTTAGTTGATTAGAAACAAATTATTAAGAGTTATGAATCACAGCCAGCTCAAGGTGCCTTATGGATCAGTAAATAAGTCGAACGCTGCAAAATGCTATCGTATAATTAGCTAAAACGTAATTCAATTACGGTAGAGACCGGAGACCATCATTGTTTGGTGTGTCCCGCTACTATTAGCACGTTTTACATCCAAGTATGATTTTCCCCTGGTTTTCCTATTATGTATACTTGACACGTTCATCTTAACACTACCACCAACGAAGCGGAATTTCTTCTCTCATAATACATATCGATCGTGGAAGTCGAAAGCAGATAACGTCAACAGTGAAGATTCACCGATCTTAATGATAGTATACATTTTGATTGTACGCTATTGACACCAATTAATAGCCCGTACTACGATCTGTTTCGAGTAGTGATAAGATGATCGTGTGACCGCATTCAAACATGCATTTGACTGATTTTATACATACACACACGCACTCTCTTTTTCATTTACACGGTACTGCATAACTATGTACACTGTTCGTACGTACAAGTTTTGTCTAGAAATAACGTTGTGTATCTAAAACTAAGGTTGAATTTCGGTAAAGCGTTATTTTCATTATGTATATATATATATTTTTTTTATGTTCATACCATTAACAACAACGTACATGTAAATGAAGTGAATTTGTGGAATATTGAAATCGGATGTTAGTGTTCACTTAACTTTTTCTTTTTTTTCTGTTTCGTTACAGTTAGATACACTATAAGTATTAGTAATGTGTTCGTTTTACAATTTACTATTCTTACAGCTTCTTGCTTTCGCACTGGATGCATCCTTTCTTTTAAGATTTGATTAATTTACAAGCGAGTGCGTCGAGATTATCGTGAAAATCTTCATTTCCGTACAAAAGAAAAAAAGAACAAACGAAGAAGAAAAAGAAACTCAACCAACTTTTCACGAACGGGAATTCGAACTTCTGTATCGATCACGATTCATGGAATGCAGAACTGAAATTATTCCTAAAGCGGGAAACCGGTGAAAATTACACGAGAAAGACGCGAGATGCACTAGGGAAGGATAGAAAGGAAGTAATGAATGGGAGAGAAGCGAATTGTTCTGAGTGAATACAACGATATGGCACAATAGATATACATTGCATGTATTGATTTCTCGTTATTAATTTATTTACGCGGTACACATTGGCGTAACTAGATTTTTTGTCTGGAACAGGTGGTCAAGTGCCTGTTGGAAATTTGGATATTTGTTTTGGAATATTGTGTTAGTCCATGTGAGAAGAATACTCTCACTTAGTTGCGCCAATAGAGACAAATAAGATTGAGAAAAGAAGAGAAGCAGAAATCCAATAACTTCGAAGGGAGGCAAGGTTTAACAAGAGTGTAAATTTCGATCTTCTAAAAGGTTGAAATATATTAATAATGAAAAATGAAGTAAAAAAGATTGAATTTTGTGCGACGTTGAAATTTGAGTATTGAGTGAGCTTTTCGTTCACTGGCGTTGTCATTTGAACTGGCACGTACCTCTACTGCTAAGCTTAATAAAGGTAATCGTCGAGAAGAGTAAGAAAAGAGAAAGAAATAATATAATATTAATAATAATCATAATAATGATGGTAATAATAGTACTAAATAAAATCGATGACAATAATAATTATGAAGGATAATAATAATAGACGTAATAATGACCGTGAAAATAATAATATGCATCGCATTTTAACATCGTTAAATCTACGTGTTCTCGAGTAAATTACATATATAATATGTTGCGCTATGCAGATACATCACAATATAGTTACACTGTACATTTAATAGTATTGACACTTTAGCGTCGGCCACGATTATTTCACTTTTTATCCATTCGATCGATGTGAATACCGTCGACGCACTTGTACAAATCCGTGTATATACATAAAATAAATTATTATCAACATTAAGCTATCCTATCTGCCGCCGGCCGCGGTATCGATCACCCGATGAAACCCGGGCATAGATACATCCGAGGATACTGGCTCTCTTTATAAAATTATATTAGGTACCTTGTATAGAATTGCACTGATTATAAATACGGTGGACTCCCGTTATATCGCCGGCCGAATTTCACTTCAGCGTACGTTGAGGAAGTTCCGATATTGTGACTAAATGTTAGACACGTGTGTGCTGTATTGTTAAGCGTTAAATTGCCACGTGTTAGATCGCCATAGACGGCTAAGCGTTAGATTACCATGCGTTAGATTGCAACTCGTGTCACCATGCGTTGGATTACAATGCGTTGCATCGCCACGCGTTACATTACTGAGACTCGTATCGCTGCCAGTAAAATTATATAGATTTTGGAAAAAAAGTAGTTCTAATAATATTCCCATAAAGCTCCTAACGCAATAAAATATGAAGATTTCACCGCAAGTTTCGAATTCCAAAAATACTCGATATTCGTGGCAATATAACGAGAGTCTACCATAACAAGAAGAAGAAGGAGAAGAAGAAGAAAAGAAAAACAGTGAAAAAGTAGACGTAAAAATTACTATCGAGTTTCATATCGAGCCAACACTGGCGACCCGGTACCGGAGGGAACGCGACCTCACTTCCGGCCCGCGAAAACGCTATTTGGCACATAAATATTATCACATCGAGCTCCCGATCTTTGTTGTCCGGTTCGATTCGTTTCACAAGCGTTAACGAGACTTTAAACGCCTAATTAATAAATTGTTACGAAACGGTTCTCCCCCTTTCGCTCAGTACCGTTATCGAGGATTAGGTTTGGACTTGATCGATCCCCATTTTTCCGCACAACTCGAAGAATAAACGTAACAGCTTAAGAACGTTGAAGAACAAAAAAAAAAATAACACAACGTCGTATTAAAATTTGATTATTCGTTCGTTACATCGTTTACAATAAATAACGGCTAATTCCCCTCCGCAATTTTATACAGAAGTAACATTGTACTAAAAATCGACGTCGCGCGTGCCTCTCGCTTTCTCTCTTCTTCCCACGTGTGTACGTACGTATCTCGATTGATTTTTCTCTTTAGATTCTCTTTAACAATTTCCTTTCGCTCTCTCTCTGCATACTTCCGCGAGTACATAGACAAACAATGACAGAAATATTTCTAACAAATGCTTTTTTAATTACTACAAACGTCGCGATGCCTTCACTTTTGCCTCTCAGCTAAATAATTTAAAGAAACGATAGTTTAACAATATTTTATTCGATCATCGTTTGCCAGTGTACACCAGCGAGTACGATAGACTTCCATAAGGAAAATGGTATTATAGAGAGAGGAGGATCCACTCGCTATAATACTCGAGTTACCACTCATTATATTCAACGAGACGTTTCATACCTTGTATGAGATATGTTCGTATTCGACAAGCAATACAATTTTGAACATTTAAAGGTCTGGAAATTTGTGATACTAAAAATTGAATGATAAGAAAATTATTTGTCATTTTTTCTAAGGAAACCCACAGTTTTCACCAATGTACACGATGTCCCGCTCGTTCAACTCTATCCCGACTAATCGTCGTTAACGTCACGGTCCATAAATTAATGACGGCAAAAAAATACTATAAGTACTAAGTGTTCGGATGAAACGAAAAATGACCACCGTTGACGAGCTGGTGAATCGCGTGACAGACTTTCTCCCGCGTTTTTTTCTTTCGTGCGAGCAACCTTTTGATAAACGCGCGCTCGCTTAGTGCACGTTAGGAACGCCTCCCGCTCACGCGTATTATCCACACACGAATTATTCTGTCGACCAGCAAGGAACGAACAGAATACGTACATTAGTGAGCACAGTAGACTTCCCTAGGAAAAAAGGCGACATAGAGAATGTCTCACTATCGGCTGTAATATTCGAGAGTTATAGATATTTTACGACGGAGCGATATAAATGGAGTGACCATTTAATTAATTTACTTTAGCGGGACGATTGCTCACAGTGTATACAATAGGGGTATAAGATGTACATTGAAAATATACTGAAAGCAGTGACTTTTACTGCAAAGATTTATTTGAAGTAAATGCAAAATTATTTTTGGTTTCATCTGAAATGTTAGTGAAACTGTTTGGTCTCCCCAGATATAACGCTAGGCGTAGCACGGGGCGATGTAACAAGTAATGTAGCACGTAATAATACGACGAGTGGTGATACAACCCGTGAGAATGCAACGCATAACAATACAATACATAAAAACACAGCGCACGGGAATACAACACGTGGTAACATAACGCATAACACTAATGCGTGGCAGTACAACGCGCGAAATTTTTCGGGATAACTCTCGAATATTTCAGCAAATAATGGAACCTCTCTTGCATCGCCGTTTTCTCTCTAGAAAGCCGAAAATGCTTTTCATTGTACGGCGACCGTTCGGTAAATGCACGTCGTCGAGAAAAAAAAAACAGATCTAAAGCCCGAATCGCGGTGATTTAACGAACGGTAACCGCACAGAGCGATTGATTTCGATTGTATCGATACGCGCGAATATGTAAACGTGGAATATTAATACGACCTAATCGCGTGCTTTCCGTATACCTATCAGATGCGACGAACCACAGGTTTTTGCCCTCCCACTTCGTTTCATATAGAAGACACGGCCGACCGGAATGGCGTATCGCTAGACACACACACACACACTAGAAGGAATAGGAACAAGACTTTTTTGGCCGCTCAACGTACCTTCACGCACGCACGTATACGTGTCACGATCGTCTCACGGTGTTCGAAACGCGATAAATGAGTTCGATCGAGAGATTGCATCGGATCGATCCTTCTGGCTCACACACGTGACACATGGCAGTCTTACGAGAAATCAGGTATGTATATATATATAATGTGTATATATATATATATATTTTTAAATTTATTTATTTATTTATTTATAATTCTATATACGCATCTCGTCGTACGTTAAACAGGCGCGAGATGGTTGCACCAACGACGTTACAATCGACTTACTCGCGCGCATCTTGTTACCTAGAAACGTTAGCTAACGACGATCAGACGTTATCAGTTCGCAGTTTTGATTACACAGAACAGAATACACCTTGCCGCCGTCGCGTTTCGCTCGACGTATTGCTCCCCAGAGTGTCCGTTAGCTCAGCCTGACAGTAACGAGCGAAGAGGCGATTACCTCTCGTGTTCACCGGTGTCCCGTGAAACGTCCGTCGTTAACGGATAACCGGACGAACGCCTGTACCTCCTTCGCACTGTCCCAAAACCCGAGTAGGGCACGAGGATGCCATCGTCCACCAGTGGCAGACGCTTAAGCGACGCGACGGCGTCGTACGATGGCACAGAAATAAATCGTTATATCACAACCTCTCGAGCGAGGCTTCGGGACGCTTGGTCACTCGTCGAGAACGTTCTTCGTCGACGCCTGGCGCCGGTTCAGTCGACCACGAAGAGGACACCGGCGCCTTCAGTTACCAGAACGCAACCCCGTGGCGGTGTTTCAACTTTGTCACTACCGTTGACGATGAAGCTCCGGGCGGCCATGGAGGCTGACCCGGAGCCGCGGTTCAATCCTCGTCGTGGCG